TTTCTTCTGGTTACCAAGGAAACACCCCATGTTGGTCCTTATCTCTTCTTTGGACTTCTTTGGAATTCGGTGTCTCTGCCTGCCCGGTACAAATCTAATTTACAGCTTACTTGTTCAGTCAGGCATCTGGCTAATTGCTTCTAAAGGAAACGGGGTGGGGGAATCTCTTGGAAGGCAAAAGCAAGTTAACCCTTTATAAATAAGATAGAGTGCACCGCTACATGCATGCTTATACACCATGTGAAATATATATAGAGAACACAAAATCATACATGAAAATAATGCCCTTCAAAGGAAAGGAGAAAGCGGGTGGATGGATGGGTTCTGGGTAGTGTGAAGTTGGTCTGGTGAAGGGTGGGAGTTATGTAATAAATGCCCCCTCTCTTTGGCAAAATAATGTAAAAAACTCTTGCTCTTTGATGTGGGGTCTTGGGAAAAACCTTCCATGACCCTGGGAAATCAAAAAGGTCTACCACCCTGAGAAATTCAATATTAGGGAACCAATCTTCCCAAAGGATCATTTTATCTCTCCCCCCCCCCCAAAAAAAATCACAGCATGCAAGGACATTAGCCTTCTAGCATTCTTCAGCCTGATTTGGCTACCTGCTAAACCCATCTGTATTTCCACACATCTAAAGCAGGGTTCCTCAACCTCAGCAACTTTAAGATGGGTGGACTTCAACTCCCAGAATTCCCCAGCCAGCCATGGTAGACCTTTCTGATTTCCCAGGGTCAGGGAAGGTTTTTCCCAAGACCCTACATCCAAGAGCAAGGATTTTTTTACATTATGTTGCCAAAGAGAGAAGACCTTTCCTTCTCAACTGAATTCTGGGAGTTGAACTCCACCCGTCTTAAAGTTGCTAAGCTTGAGAAACACTGAGATAGAAGATCACAGTGTTGTTTTCAGTGAAGTTCTACTTCGGGGAGAAAATCATCAAAGGACCCAACTTTTTTATCTGAAGTTCATCTTTTCCATTTTGGGGGTTTTCCTGGGACCACTGATTATTGGCATATTAGCACCCAAGGCTTACCACGGAGTTAGACCACAGCTTCCGTTACAGGGACCCGGGCAGAAGTAGGAAATAATTAGATTCTGATATTCTGAGAAATTTAGATCTAAAGAGGCAAGTTGCTAGTCCTCATTAATGTGGTGGATGTTGAGAGGGAGGATGCTGATAATTCAGCTTGGGTAGGCTGCCAATGGATCCAACTTAAACACCCATTAATTTTTTTTTTAAATTTAAAATTTACATGTAAAATATTACATGTATGAAATTACAAAACACATGTATGAGTAATACTTCTATATGCAATTTTTGTTCTGCTGTTGTTCCTTTTCTCTTTTTCCCTTCTGTTATCAGTCTATATTTCCTTTTGTTCTGTTTTATGAAATAAAGGGGAAATCTCTTATTTTAGGTAGCCCTGTTAGTTATATAGTCCATCCTTTTTTTCTCCTGTTTCATTCCAATGCCAGGAAGTGCATTTTTCCAGCAATTGTGCAATTGCTGCTGCAATTGAGCAATTTCCAGCTCACGTTTTCCTGCTGCAAAAAAAGAACACTTTTTAATCAAATCTATTTGAATGGGACTGGTCACTATTTTAGAGGGAATTATTTTATATTTTGTTCTATTTCTGTTTGTGAGCTGCCTGGAGCGAATACAAAGGTGGGATATAAGTTGAAATAATAAAGTAATAAAGCCCCCAGGGATCTTCCTGCATTAGGTGTTGCAGCTTAGACAGTTAAAGGGGAAAAAATCAGAAAGGATCCAAACTTGGACTGATAAAAATGAGGAAGTTTGCAGGGTTTATATTTATCCCCTGTTTGTTTTTGCAGCTTAACCAGATAAAGGATGACGAACGTTGAAACAGAAATGGGGCTTCCACCCATTGAGCAAAAATCGGGCCTCCAGATATGGACCATCGAGGTAAAGTATTGTTGATGTTTTCCACGGGGACCATCATTTCATTTAAATCATTTTTGTATTGATTGGCACATCGATGCATTGCTTAGCCTTGTATGCAAGAGACTGAGTACAACAGGAACTGGAAAGGCATTTGTGCAGAGATAAATGCCCAGAATGACCACAAAAAAAAGGGTAACATATTGAAATTAGTTCCTTCAGCAGCTAAGAGATGCAACCGGTTTTTATACAATGCTGTAAACTGCCAAACATCCTTCTTTTCATTTTAAGTCATGCTGCACGTCAAATTATAATTACATTTAATTATAATTTAATTAAATTAATTAAATTAAATACACCACCCTTTTTTCCATTGCAAATCGCTTGTAAAGGTGGGGACTGGGTACATAACCCTTCACCTCCCATCTCTTTTTTCTTCACGGGAAAGAGGTGGATAAATTGGATTTAGACTTGAATTAGCAGGGGAAACAAAGGTCAGAGGTATCGACAGGAAGAAAACATTGGAACTGAGTTTCAGGGGTAAAGAGCTGGCAAATAAAGGGAGGAACATCACGATTGTGTTTTTTCATTAGCTGCAAAGAAGCTAGTTAAAACTTTTTAAGTAGCTGCAAAGTGTCTTCAGTTCACAGCAGCGTGCCAGCAAGAAGTAACTTTTGGATTAATGTTATATACTGTTTCAGACAGACTCACACCTTAACCCAAATTGCAATATTGTGTGCTCGATTCTCAGTTGTTATAGTCTACAAACCATGGTTTATGAATGAGCGTATTTCGTGAAGCCAGCTGCCTGTGATTTATGCAAGGAGACATGGTGCTGCGTGCAAATATATCTCTTGAAAGCAGATTTCCCCATTGTTCTTATTCATCCAACAGTTGATGAACTTTTCTCTTCAGGAAATACATGCCCAGGGTTTACACAATGCCCTGAGTTATGGAGCCACCGGCTGTGCAATAGTTTGGCTTCAGATCCAGAAAGGAGTCCACAAGGGAACAAACATAGCCCTCGTCTGCAGCTCTTCAAAGCAGGCCTGTCTTTAAAGATGCAGCTGCTTTAAAAACTTACACACAAGTCCTTTCTTCACAAGCACCCTTTTGTAATCAGTTCCAAAGCTCCGCTGATTTAATAAACCAATATTAGCTGGGTTTACAAATTTACTCTCAGCCTCGAATCGTGATATACAAACCACGGGGGCTGTGTTCCTAATGGAGGCACACTGTTCATGCACGGGCCAAATCTGAAGCATATGTTGGTTTGGTGCTGTGCTTGCATCCAACCAACTGTAGCTTGTTCAACAAATCATGATTAAGCATATTTGGGCTTAGGGTTGTGTGAATCAGTGGCTTTGGCAATGCAGCCTCTCCCAAACAAGGGAGAGAGGTGATGCTAGTAAGGCTTGGTTAAGACTGAACTGCCTGCTCCTTGCTCCAACCAGTTAACATTGACCTTGGCAGATGAAGAATCGGCATTTGCAACCCTGAGACCACGATTGCAGATACCATCACCTTTAGCCACCAAGCTGTAGCCTATCAGAAGCAGCTGATCTTTCGCTGGTTGCTTCCAACCAACAAGCTTGTCCGGTTCAGCAAGTCTTGCATGAGGTGAAGCAGAAAACTTCACCTGGTTAATGAATGAAGCCAAAAAAGACCTCCATGAGTTTTGAAATAAGACCGTGCAGCCATGCACAGAAATTCCAGGAATCCCGCTTCAGTGGGGAATATGGGGATGGGGGGAGGGATTCTCAGCAAGGTCTAATGGTTTAACCCTATGTAGAAACATGGATGGATTTGTTCCCTTTATCTGCAATGCTTGCCTGCTGGCGTTGGATCAAAAAAAGCAGGGTTCCTGTCTCTTTAGCAGTTATGGAGACCAGAGGATCTACTGCTTGTGGCCATCATCTTTGGGACCTTGCAACTCCAAGCCAGGGAACCCTGATCTTGTGGTATGGCCTAAGCACACAAGCGCAGAAGGAACCAGGTTCAGTTGAGCCGCGGGAAATCCTGAATGGGTGAAGTACAGCCAGCTTATGGCGCAAGAGAAAAGGCAGGAGAAACTCTTCAGCTGCACAGCCGTGAAGCATTTCGGGGCAACCGAGCACAGGGGAAGAGACAGGAGACCATGTGAGAAGGAGAACGTGGAGGGACGTGATGGAGGGAGTGGATTACTGAACTGAACAGAGCATTTCACGTTGCAGTGAATCATTGAATTGTCTCCTTGGCTGTACGTGCCCTGTGATCTTGACTTGATTTATGTATTTATTTATTTATTTAAACGATTTATGTAGCTGCCAATCTCCTTTGCAGTTGTATGGGATTCCTTCCTTCCTTCCTTCCTTCCTTCCTTCCTTCCTTCCTTCCTTCCTTCCTTCCT